CTCCTCCCTTAAGCAAGCGGCGCGCCACGTAAAAAGTGGCAGCTGCCCGAGGCCGGTTGCCTTTGCTAGCTTAAGCTTGCTTGGTGGGTGGGGGGTCCCACTTGAGCTTCATCAAACTCTATTATCCAGATTCTAAATAATCTAAGTAGCTCAACTTCACACTTGCTTTCCTGCTAGCAAACATAAGAAAGTCTTTGCGTGCAACTAAAACATGATGAGAAGAGATCATGCAAACACCCCAAATCCAATTGGGTATCTACCAAACACTATATGCTTTACTAATTATTAGACTTTAGAAATTTATTTTGAAAAATATATCTGCATAATCATTGACCCAAAATAAAGGAAAGAAATAATCTGCAAAATGGTGATGGTCTGGCAAACTCTGTATCTGGCCAAAACTTCTGTTCATTCAGATATGTGGTAAACGTTTATGGAACAATAATTAGAGTAGGAGTGCATTTGGGTGGCTTTGGAGAGCCAACAACATTCAAAGTATTCAACAAAGCATATGCATCTTTCTTCTGTGTTTGACATTTCACCTTTCACCAGATGAACTGCATTGCAAGCCAAAAGCATATTAGAAATGTCACAAACTCCACATAAAATCTAAGGCTGAATTATTATTAGGAACTAAATAGGTGATGTTGTGATCTTAGTGTCAGTCAGTGGCATACCATTTTCTTATTGATCTTATTCTTCTTCTTCTTCTTTTTTTTGTCAAGACTTCCCAAGAGCTCGTCTTGCCGGGTAAGCGACTCCTCCAGAGCCTAAACAAAGAAACCATTTGAATGAGATATCATACACATCTCTATTGAACATTTATTATTGGATGCAGCAGCAGCATTTGTGCAGCTAGGCTTAACAGCTCTGTTCTAAAAAGTTCATAAAGGAACTTAAAGAAACCCAAGATAAGATACCTGCTTTGTTGCCATGAGCTCTTGCTCCAAGGCATCAACCCGGCCTAAAGCAGTTTTCAGCATTCTGTCCTTCTCAGCCGGCACGGTAGCTGGTTTCACACTCAGCATGCTCATTCTCTCTTCCAGTTCAGCCATGCGCTTCATGACAGACATGAGATCTGTACCAGAGATGGCAGGGTATGAAGGCCCCTGGGTTTTGATCATTGTGTCACCATCACAAACAGTGCTGGAGTAGAAGGTGGAATCAGTGAGCTTCTTTGGCATGTTACGCGTCAGTCTGACCATGGTGACTATTCCCATAACAAACGCCATAACAGCAGCCAAAATCTGAGAGCCAAACCCATCAGGAACTTTGCAAGCATCATCCCTGGAAAAACAATCTCCTGCTGCAAGTTAAAGGAAACTCAGAGCCTATTTATTTAATAAAAGACACATAAAAAGAAAGAAAATACAGATATAAGGTCACCTATGTTCTTAGATGATGAACCCTTTGATAGGGCAAAGTTGCTGCTCCCTGCCATTTGCCAACTTGAATCCACAGTTTTACCAACCATTGAGACATGTTCCTTGCACTTGTAAGATTCATGGAAATTTTTCGCTATGGATGCCTGTGAAGATTGTTTATCTTAAAAGACCTTGTTGCAAACTAAAAAAATAAAGTATCCCACTTCAAATGCTGAATGTTTTGACAATTGTATTTGACCAACAATTCCTATCATACTCAGATTGCAAACAAATAAATGCCTGATTTATCTAGCAATTGTTTCATACACACGGAGATTTGGTAGCAACTAAAATGAACTTGGAAGTCTTTGATACTTACTTCTTCCTGAAAGCGAGAAAGTCCTGGATACTCGATATGCTCCATTGTAAATCTAGGAGAGAAAGGTCGCTTATCAGCTAGAGTTGGAGCTGTGTCACGTTCCTGGGAAGATTATATAAATAAGCTTGAGCTTTTTTTTACGACAATAAGCACCAAATGAGATGTATCTTACAAAACCAGTTAAAATCAAGTAAGACCTACTTGAATTCCAGATTTTCTTGAACATTTATGATCACCATTTTGGACCATCTGCATGTGCACAAGTCAAATATATAATAATTTTAATTCAACTGCAAACTAAAGAAAGTATACGGAGTTGCAATGATATATAGAAAAGAAAACAGAAACAGAATGGTTTGTCCACCTGCATTATCTCTGGCTTTTTCCAGGGGCCCTTATCAGAACGCATACAACCTCCTTGATCAGCACAAGTACATGTACCACCTAAGAACTCGGGCAGCTCACTGGAGCAAAGCCAAACCAGAAAGGGAATATCAAAATAAACAAACTGAAGCAGCACCGTGTGGCGTTTAAACAGACGACACCATTTGGGAACACTTGAAAACAATACAGGTTATAAATCCTGGGTTAGCAAAATTAAGAGTGCAAGATAAATTGCACAATTAGAGACTTACCTAGCATCAATTATTTCAATTAGCTTGCTCTGATACTTATTGCCAAGGACCTGGATGATAATAACTTTCCTTTATTAATAATATGGCCCTGACAAGAACTAGCATTTGTAGCATCAAAAGCTATGTACTCACATTTATCTTTGCCGTTGTCTTGGGATCAATGAAGGACTTCACGGTGTTCCACAGCATTCTAAAACCAGGACCAGCATTGATGATAAACATGCGATTCAAGGTCTGCATTGTTCACAACATTTTTTCATGGCATCACAATTCTGCTATCGACGATAAAAGTTCTAAAAATCCGGAAATTTATAGACCAAAATATGTCAACTTTTAAGACAGTACCTCAGGGTAATTGTCACCGTCAATCTTCTGAAGGCGAGCAATAAGATCCCTGGCAGCTTTATTGAAATTTTTAAGTCCCTAAGGCATAAAATTTGTTAAAATAGTTCATTCCATGCAATGAAATGGTGAAAAAGAAAAAAAGAAAAAAAAAGACATGACTTCAAAGACAGAAGAACTTGTGAGACCGCTACGTAAAATATGCACACTGCTTAAACTGTGTATGCCTCTTAAGATCGATTGCAGTCATTATCCATAATGGTTGACATTTAAACAACATAACAACTTCTCTCTAATTTTCCATAGTGATTATAGTTGTCACATACCACTCCTTGCACATCGAGGATCGTTGTGCTTTGGTCAATGTGCTTCTTTGCTGCAATTGAGCAAGCTGGGAACTTAACAGCAAATGTCCTTTCAAACTCCCGGACATGGTATTTCACATAGCGGTCCATGGTTGTGGCTTGCATCAGCTTGGTCACATCTACTTGCCCTATTCTCTCAATATACACAGGTTGTCCATCCTTGTCTACTCCATGATGTCCTTGGGGATAGTGTTGCAAGACTTCACTGTGTTCCTTGAATTCAAAATCCTAGACAAAAAGATGGATAAATGAGTAACTAAATTGATGAATAAATATAAGCAAATGAGAATCTGCTGGAGAGTCTATTAC